GTTAAAGTCTGTGGTCAAATTGAGAATAGATTAATATTGTTTGTTTTTAATATTATTTGTCTATAGTCTTATTGAATGTCAAACATGACCATAATAGATTCATATATTATGGTCGAATTTTGAACACTGGGCGACCATTAGTATTAATAAATGTTTGTTACATAGAATACACAGCTTCATTTCAACAATAAACGCGTATGCAAACAACGATCTATCGTCAAATCGAAGCTATCGATCGATCAAACATTGGGCAGTGAACTATTGACATTACGACTAGAACCAAACCCAGTGATCTTACGACCAGATAACCTTTTTATTGTGGCATGCCAATCAAAATGCAATTTTGATCTTTGTTACATGATTTATCGTAACCTACTGAGAGTGGGGTCAAAATTTAATTGTTTACGTTTAACAAGCTTAATATACAAGACAAAGACACTTAAACTATATTTAACTTAGCAAGTAATTATCATTTACTTATTTCCTAGTGTTTTAGGCTTAGTATTTGTACTTAGGTACTTTTAATAATAAGCTTAAATACGAATGTAATAGTTTATTTATTTATTTAGTTACAAAATTATTAATTTTTCTTACATAACTTCTAAAAATATATTTAAATTTACAGCCAAAAATGTATTTACATTGTATAAACAGCAATATTATGTGAAATTAACTAGCAAACAAAAAACAGACCTTTACATGAGGGATTGCAATATTATTGTTTCTTGTAATAAGCATTGTTTTTTTTTTAATTATTAATTCTTACTTAGACGACGATAATGACAATTTACGTTTAAACTCACATTTAATAATTAATAACTGGAGTTTATGAAAACGTCCGCTAGAGGCGCTGCAAAAAATTCATTTCAAATAATCGACCTAAGTATTCACGTAGTATGAACCTAAAGTATTGAACTTACATTAGATGTAAAAATTTGTGTACTGCTGATTCACTATTTGCATAATACATTATTGTATCATATCAATCATAGGTCACAATCGTAGTCATCCTGTGATGCAACAGTAGCAATCTCGTGGATCGCTCGTATCCTGCACGTACGTTACCACGTGTACCCTCTGCGTGTATAGACACGGTGCCCTGCCCGTTAATTGATTACACAATCCACTTTGATACAGTTAGGTTTTATAATAGTAGTACTTTTGTTAACCGTTTGTTATTCATGATAAAACTTTTTTTGTTACGTATACGAACGTAGAATTTTAAAGCAATAAGCAATGGCAGTTGGTTGCCGTGTGGTATTTTTATAGAATGGGTCGTCCCTTCCTTTCCCGTGGGTGTCGTAAGAGCCTATGTTCAACAAGGGACAGATAATGGTTTTAAAACTTAAAATAAAATAAATAAATTATTTATATTTAATTATTTATATTTATAATAAGTTTACTATTGTAATCTTTTGGAGGAAACAATAAAGAGTATCTATCTATCTATCTATCTAAATTATAAATTCACCGTTACCCTTGGAAGACTTTGTACAAAAGTCGATTGCTTGGATACCTCTGTCCCATTCGTGTTTCTACCGTGAAATAGTTGTGTTTGCATGGCTGTGTTTCAGTTTGAAGGGTGGGATATGGCGTGAATTTACAGGGTACAGAGGAATAACACCTGAGTCCTCAGTAATGGCAACGCATGGGGGGTATCATGGGCAAAACAGTATACTCTGTTATATCCATGGTACTGCTCATGTCTATAGGCGACGGTTGCCACTTTCCATCAGGTGGGCCGTCAGCTTGTATGCCATTTTAAGTTGTATAAAAAAAAATTAAGTTTTTGATTGGAGAGATTGACAACACATGTACTGTGAAAAACATAGTAGAGTCGATATATTTATTATTAGATCTAATTAACAAACAACGATGGGTTCCAAGTATTTGATTGACAGATAAGTTTAGATGTTATTACCTCTAGGCAAGCTCTGGTCGCGTTGCCCTCTGTATGTTTGCACTGCGTGACTGAAGACATAGTAATTTACTTACTCGTGTATTCTAATTATAGTCTTGGAACTAATGTATTTTAACGCCACTTACGCCGTCTCTCAATACTGTGAGAACTTCAATTAACTTTTTAAAAAAAGAATTTGCGGATTATATGGAATACATGTTTGCATTTGCATTATTTAGATGAGTAAAACTGTTTGCTTTTATTTAAATAACACATTTGTTTGAAAATTATTACATTAAATAATTTAGATTTTTGTTTCAGAAAAAAAAATCAATTAGAGTAAAGCTATAGTATTTTGAATTCGAAATGATACCACTAAACCGACTTTGATAAAATGTCTAAGGGACCAATCTATAAGTATATCCTTACGGATAAAAAAAAAATGCATTTTCAAAAATCGGTTTACAACTGATGGAGTTTTGAACACATAAAAAATAGAACCGAATTGAAAATCTGCTTCTTAGTCTTATTTTTGATATGGTCGGGAGCCTATACAAATTTTGTTATAATTAGTAAAAAGTTCCAAAAAGAAAGACTTGATTGAATACATTTCTCTGAGTTCGACTCAGCTGAAATTTAATGTAAGAACGATTGACTAGATATTATTAATTATAGAGATTTCTAACTGGTATGATAAATATTGATATAAATACTAAATAGGAATAGGGATTTTATTATATCCAATCGAGTTGCAGCTTGTTTATGTATAAAAAAAAATTTAGTCTAGGTACAACTCAAAAATCACCAAATTAAATATTATTTTTTGTTTCGTTCGTTAAAATACAGGGATAGTTTGAAAGAAAAAAGTAAAAGACCCAGTTTTAAGCTGAAAAATCGAAAATTAAAAATAATTAGATATTTTTTTATGGAAACACTATTTCTGAATATTTTTAATGTATAGCGTACGAAGCTCACAGAGTCATTTAGTTTGGTGATATATTTAATCATAAAGATGATTACTCAAAAGTTCTACGCATGTAATTTTTTTTTAATAATAATAATAATAATAATAAACTCTTTATTGCGCACAGTAGAGATGTATACAAGGAGTATTTATACAGAATGTGCATATACAAAAGGCGGCCTTATCGCTAAAAGCAATCTCTTACAGACAACCTGGCATATAGAATGGATAAGTACAGAGAGAAAGGTAGATGGCGCTAGTCAGACACAGTAAATACATAAAAGGAATCAAACAAAACTTATATTTTATATTTTGTATTTTACATGAATTATGAATATAAATGCGTATCAATTTAAATTTAATTGAGTCACATAGTGTACAATAACATATATATAAAACAATTAATATGCCTACAATATTCCAATGAAAAGACAATCGTCAGATGCGTAATCCTTATAACCACATTACCGAATAAGGATATATAAATCGCTATACGATACACAATAGAATAATAGTATTTTATTCATTTTACGTAGGTTGGTAAATACGTCAGCTGGTGACACGTAATGTAGGTAACATTTTTTTTCATGGGTGAAAATGGTATGGTAACCCCGCCTGCGCTAACGGGGTACGCTGGCGGAGCACCAGTGAAGGGTGATAGATGAGAACGAAAACAGGCCGGTTAGCCTATCATGATGAATTCATCAGGAATCAACCATGATAGTTTCCAGGGGGAACCGCTAGGAGGTTGGTTATATTGCTAGCAATGGGATTCTCAGTCTCCATCACTAATAATCCCTCTCCCCCCGGGCATCTTGTTTAGGTATGCACTGAATTAAGTGCAACTCATTTGGAAGTGCGCAGAAAGGGTAATATCAACTATATTATTTCATAGGTAAATATAACAAAAATATTACATATATACTTAGCATATCATGGAGGAGGAGAAGGAGGAAGAGGGAGGTATTAATTGAGTAGTTTTTGAGTGTATCCATTAAAAACAAACAAATAAACATAACACAAAAAAAATATTTTCCCTTTAAAATATTAATATACATGAAGATGTCTAACAGTGTCTCTGTTTGTACATAGTTTTTGTAAATGACGGTAGTGCCATTTCACTCAATACCGACATATGCATACCTAATATTCTTATATGGTGCCCACCAGAGGGAGACTTTGTACAAAAGTCGTTTGCTTGGTTACCTCTGGCCCATTCGTGTTTCAATCGTGAAGTAGTTGTTTGCATGGCTGTGTTTCGGTTTGAAGGGTGAGATATTGCTTGAATTTACAGGGTACAGAGGAATAACACCTTAGTCCTCAGTAATGGCAATGTTTGGGGGGGGGGGGGTATCATGGGCGAAACAGTATACTCTGTTATGTCCATGGTACTGCTCATGTCTATAGGCGACGGTTACCACTTTCCATCAGGTGGGCCGTCAGCTTGTTTGCCATTCTAAGTATTATAAAAAAAAAAAGAAAAACACGTGTAATACGAGTCGCACATTTGCAACGTAGATAGACACCGGTCGTGTTAATAATTCACGGCTCTTCCTGTTATCACGACATTGACTTTGAACTTGCCAAATAGCAGAGGGAGGGACTGACGAAATTGGCTGCAACCAGGACGTGCCAATGTCCATTTTAGTATGATATCATTTGCGATATTGCCGCAGAGGCGGAGCGGTCACATTGTCCTAATATGTTTTGATGGGTGAAAACGGTATGGTAACCCCGCCTGCGCTAACGGGATACGCTGGCGGAGCACCAGTGTAGGGTGATAGATGAGAATGAAAACAGGCCAGTTAGCCCATCATGATGAATTCATCAGGAATCAACCATGATAGTTTCCAGGGGGGACCGTGAGGAGGTCGACTTGGTTGGTTATATTGCTAGCAAAATAAGATTCTCAGCCTCCATTACTAACAATCCCTTTCCCCCCTGCCATATGAACACTTACTTATAATTAATTGCCTACGACTCGAGTTTTGGAATTGACTAAAATAAATTTGTTGTTTAACAATTTGAAATGACAAGCTGACAGCACGTCTGATGAATAGACAGAGTTATTCATATAGATTAGTACACCCAAATTGCACATGATTTATCCTTAACCTCCTGTTTTCTTTTCCGCAGTTATCCTGCTGACCGGTCTGTTCGAGCTGGGAGTGATACCTTCGTACAAAGTGGGATTCTACTGCAATGATCCCAAACTTTCGTTCCCTTTCAAAGGGGACACGGTGTCCATGACGGCTCTTATCGTCGGCGCAGCTTTAATTCCAATAGGAGTGGTAAATACCTTCTTTATACAACTTGGAACATCGGAAAATCTAATGATCCATCTGATGGAAGGCAGCAGCCATCACCTATAGGCGATGGCTGCTATACGCCTTTCTACACAGGAGTGGGGTTATAAAGGCTAGGAGTTATACCTTCATATCCAGTAATTTCACTGTTATTGACGTGTGGTTCTAGTATCAGATGGGCCATCCCTTTCTTTCTCATAGGAGGCGACTAATATAATAATGTCACGATAAAATATTTTAAAAGAAAAGTCAAAAATTTTTTTATAGGACAGTATTTATTTATTTATTTTTATTCATTTAACTCTTTATTGCACCATAAATAAAAATATACAATGACAAGTGAATAATTCAAATGAAATACAGTAACATAAATACAGATTGAAATATACACATGAAGGTACAAAAGGCGGTCTTATCGCTAGGGCAATCTCTTACAGACAATCTTTAGTTAAAGGAGAACAGATAGAAAAGGGCAGGTGGCGCAAGAGTGAATTAATAATTTTCGTGCATAAAATACAGTATTAGATTTAATTTGGATAGTGAATGTTGTGGAAAAAATGGATGTTACTGGTATGAGTATACACTCATACCAGTAACATCCATTTAGTATATGTATGTGTATATATGCATATCTGTTTATATCTATGTATAAAGATATAAGTACAGTATATAGGATTAGAATATAAGTTTATAATTGTTTAAAAAGCTGTATGTACAATGAGCGCAAAGCTGCAGACAAACTGCAATGCAGTTTTTTTTTTGATGGGTGAAAATGGTATGGTATCCCCGCCTGCGCTAACGGGATACGCTGGCGGAGCACCAGTGAAGGGTGATAAATGAGAATGAAAACAGGTCAATTAGCCCATCATGATGAATTCATCAAGAATTAACCATGATAGTTTCCAGGGAGAACTGTGAGGAGGTCGACCTGGTTGGGTATATTGCTAGCAATGGGATTCTCAGTCTCCATTGCTAACAATCCCTTCCCCACTGCAATGCAGTTTCGCAGCACTAAGTATATATACTGTCTATGTAACTGTTTACTTGAAATAAAAAAAAAAGAAGTTATGGTAGAGAAATGGGTCAGTTTAAATAGGTAAATTTAATTTTATTTAAATTACAGATTATTTACAGATTGCTCTTTTAGAAATTTTATTAAAATCGGTTTAGTTGTTTAGTTATTAAATCAAAATAACAGAAGTCGCTATTAATTTGTGGGACACATTTTAATTATTATCCCATTATCTCGATTTTGCAGACGTGGTCATGTATTAAAATGCATTGTATTATTTATTATATATGTACATCATAATGCTATATTTAAGTAACTATAAACTATAAATAGAAGAGATAGTTAATCATCATCATCCTCCTACCCTTATCCCAACCATTTGGGGTCGGCGTAATATGATTTTATCCGTATTACAAAAAGATTTGGTTTTTAGTTTTACGACCGGCCGCCTGCCTGACGTCAACCCTCTTTGGGAATAGAAGAGATAGTTAATCTAGATATGTAATTAGAAATAAGTAATTAAAAAAAAAAATATATATATATATATATATATATATATATATATATATATATATATATATATTTAAAGATAAAAAATTAAAATTGTATTAAAACTATATAAACTGTTTGTACTGCAGTTTTGGCTGACAGAATTATTCCACGTGGACAGCAGCAGCTCTGTTCGAGAGAAACTGTTACAAGTGACTCAGCGTACTGGACAGCTCAATATGATATACCTGTACGGTTTGATTTTCAATCTGTCGCTCGTAGAAGTGATGAAGGGCATCACGGGAAGTCCGCGACCAAACTTCTTTGCTGTATGCCAGCCTGATACCAATAAGGCGTGCCAAAATGGGTATGTATTTTATACGTTTATTTTATTTTACCGCTTTATTGCGTCATTTATAAAATAGTAAATACAGTAAATTTCAATGAAAAGTAATGCAAAAGGCGGCCCGCTAAGCAATCGCTAAGCAATCTCTTCCAGATAATCTTTGGGTAGAGATTGAGAAAAAAGAAAGAGAAATATATATAGATATATATATATATATATATCTATATATATATATATATATATATATATATATGTATGTATATATATGTATATGTATACATTTATATATATTTAATGTTTATCAAACTCAAGGCAAACTGTGGTTGCCTATAAATGTAAGAACAGTTAGATCTAATGTACCAGTGTATTGTATTGAAATGTTTAGCTGTATCTTATGTTGGTAATCCTATAAATAAATAAATATTTTATTTTGTAAAATATATAAATGAAGTGCCATTGTAAAAGAAATAAATATTAAAAATAATAATTTTTATTTCGGTTTATGTCATCTACAGTACTGAGTACATAACGAGCTTCGAGTGCACATCGACGAATTTCTCGATGTACTACAAAAACGACTCCTTCAGAAGCTTCCCATCGGGACATGCATCTATAGGTGTTTATTGGGGATTCTTTTTAACAGTAAGTCCATCACTTCGATACTAACATACATACATACATGTCTGTCACACCAGTCTCCCATTAGGGTAGGCAGAAACAATGGAACGCCAAATGCTTCGATTCAAACAAACCTCTTTCGCTTCGATATTAATCCTATATTTATCTAATCTATGTACTTATTGGCCGTGTGGTCCCGGCATAGAATAGGTTACTTCTTCCTATTCCATGGGGTCATTAGAGCCAACTAAGGGAGAGCGAGGGATGGGCAGCAGCGTCCTTCTTAAAACATCTCTAAAGTTTGACTGCGGTTGCCAATTCACCTTCGAAGCGTGGCAACTACTGGCAAAACTCTCCAAGGAGGAGAAATGTTCAGCAGTGGACAGTTAAAGGCTGATATGAATGAATGAATGAATGAATGAATGAATGAATGAATGAATGATTTATTTTCTCTTTACAAAAGGTAGAATAAAGTGACAACTTGAGGTACAATTTGATATGAAGATCAATTTTGTGAGAGACTGGTGCTTGCGGTAGGTTTAGAAGAACCTGTGTTACAAGTCACCAGTGCCCCATCTCCATGGACAACACAAATGCATGGCAACCAATTAGTGTTATAATACACAGATAACAATAATAAGATATAAAGTGCAAGAATAAGCTTAACATTAAAACTTATTTCCAGTATATAACTTATACTTGATATGAACATGATGATGTACTTAATGGGGACCAGCAGCGTCCCTCTTAAAACATCACCAAGGCCTAAGTGTAGTTGTCAACCCGCCTACCAAGTGTGACAGCTATTGGTAAAACCTTCTTTATGGGGGAGGACTACGTTCAGCAGTAAATAGTTAACGGCTGATATAATGATGTGTTTTTTTTTAATGAATGATGATGGAATGGTAACCCCGCCTGTGCTAACGGTATACGCTGGCGGGGCACCAGTGAGAGATGATAAGTGAGAATGCAAGGGCAGGTCAGTTAACCCATCGTGATGAATACACTTGGAATTTATCACGATGGTTTCCAGTGGGGCCACGGGGAGGTCGACAGTTAGGGTATATTGTTAGCAATGGGACTGATAGAACGCATTACTAACAATCCCTTCCTCCCATTGATGTATTTAATGCCGTGCCTGTTCTGTGGTCCCGGCGTGGAACGAGTCACCTCTTACTTTCCCGTAGGTGTCGTATGGGGCAATTAAGGGAACTAAATGATCGAGGGATGGGCAGCAGCGTCCCTATTAAAACATCACCAAAAGCCAAACTGCGATTGCCAACTTGCTTACCAAGCATGGCAATTACTGGCAATTTGCTCCCAATTGTAAACTGCCATAAGAAATGGCCGCGTTCCATATGACAGTCTAGGAGGGAGTACTAGTCAATAGTGGCCTTAAATGTCCTTATATTATGATGATGATGATGATTGTTAGTAAAGGAGTCTAGTGACCCCACTGCTCGCAATATACCCTCTCAGGTCGACCCCCACGCGGTTCCCCCTGGAAACCATCTTAGTTAATTTTTATCGAATTCATCATGGTGGGCCAACTGACCTGCATTCATTCTCACCTATCATCTTCCACTGGTACCTCGTCAGTGTATACCTATAGCTCGGGCGGGGTTACCATTTCATTATCATCCATTACAAAAAAAAAATATATATGTAATATTATATTACAGTTTTTTTTTATATTTTTTTTCTAGTGGTACCTCCAGAAGCGAGTGTTCAAATGGAGAAATCGGTCAGTGGTGTTCATACCGTTCCTTCAGATGACCTTCATGTCCTTAGCGGCAGTGTGCGCATTGACCAGGATCACGGACAACCGACACCACTGGTGGGATGTGCTGGTTGGGGTGCTTATTGGGTTTGCCACAGTATACTATGCTGTAAGTTTAATATAAAATTTATGTCATATTTTTTTTCACGCAACTGAAGTGCAGTAACACAGTAATATAAAGATTTTGTTATACAAACAATAATCACTGACTTCGATCGTAGGAAAACTGTTATTTGATTTAAAAAATAAACTTCTAAAAAGATTTTGATTAAAAAAAAAATTGATAAAGTTTCTATGGGACAAATCTGTATATCTTTTCAGATAAAAAAAAAAGAATTATTCAAATCGGTTTATGAGGACGGAGGTTTATGACGGAGTTATGAGGTACCAAATATAAAAAATACCATCGAATTGAAAACCTCCTTTTTTGAAGTCGGTTAAAAATGACAACAGTATACAGAGAAAACTTTACATTATTTTGGATTTAATTGGACACAAGTTATTTTGGATTTAAAGACCAAAGTACTAAATCGATTTTGATAAAATTTCTCTGAGACTAAATCAAATCAAATCATATTTATTCGCTTGCTACATGGTACAATAAGAAGTTACATATACAGGTACATAACATGCAGCACCTCGCAGAGGTATGCTAATGTTAAACTGCATTTAGTCTACATTATATTACAATTATACAGTCCAAACATTTTCCAAATTACAATATTCCTTATGTCAAATTATCATAAGAGAAAGTGAAATAAATGTGATTTAAATCTCTCTATCGGAAGATCCTTTATTTCTAAAGGTAACTTAAGTAATCTGTAAGTATATTATTTTAGATGAAAAATAACAGAGGGAGACTTTGTACAAAAGTCGATTGCTTGGGCACCTCTGTCCCATTCGTGTTTCAACCGTGAAGCAGTTGTGTTTGCATGGCTGTGTTTCGGTTTGAAGGGTGGGATATAGCGTGAATTTACTGGGTACAGAGGAATAACACCTGAGTCCTCAGGAATGGCAACGCATGGGGGGTATCATGGGCGAAACAGTATACTCTGTTATGTCCATGGTACTGCTCATGTCTATAGGCGACGGTTACCACTTTCCATGAGGTGGGCCGTCAGCTTGTTTGCCATTCTAAGTTGTATAAAAAAAAATCCAAAATGATTTATAATTAAAGAAGTTACAGGGAAACATACATAATAAAGATACAACCGTATTGAGAATCCTTTTTATATTTCGGGATCAGCTCAGACTCGAAGTACCTACAGTTGAAAGGTCCACCGTAATTGGACAGGGGTCACTCTTTTTAAAAGTCACTGACCTATTAACTTATTCTATTTCTTGCAGGTTAAAGTACTTTGCAACGAATTCTCTGATATACAATCAATTGCATCAGAAGAGAACCAGACTGAGAAGACGCCGATATTCAATCACAGAAGAGAAGATACAAGTCCGGCGTGTTATAGATAATTACTGCAATTTATAAGTATTTAGAATTTTAAAGTTTTGACAGAGACTTGACCGTAGAATAAACGTGCGCGGAGATTGAAATGAATAGAAAATATAGGTGCAATTTTCTTGCTCCATTATATATATATATATATATATATATATATATATATATATTCTTTATTGTACACTTGTATATAAAATATAAAAGGGTGGACTTATCTCTGACAGAGATCTCTTCCAGTCAACCCAGTACAGTGAGAGTAAGCATGAGTAACCATGTCGTTAGCGGGCGGCTGAAGTGCTACAACTATTAATACATAAACAAATATACAGTTAAATAAAATATTAAAATATATAATACAATATTACATAAATACATACACTATAAATAAACATAATACATACATACTGGTATAATAAATGTTAAAATAAATGTATTTCTAATGTAAATACTTACATTAGAAATTTAGTTCAATGATTTTAAGATTTGACAGTTCAATTAGAAAAATAAAAAATTATAACTTAAGGGAAAGGAAATGTGATTTCAACCTTTTCTTGAAAGAGATATTTAAGTAAGTATAACTAATTATTTAAGTGTGAAAATCAGAAATACTAAAAATATGCATTAATAAATTAATATATATTTCCTATTTCATAAAGACATAGCCGTGTAGTCTTGGCATAGAATAATAGAGTGTCCCTTCCTTTTCCGTGGGTGTCATTAGAAGTGCCTAAGAGAGGGCGAAGGATGGGGGCAGCAGCGTCCTTCTTAAAACATCTCCAAAGTCCAATTGTGGTTGCCAATCCGCCTGCCAAGCGTGGCAACGATTGGCAAAACTGTCCAAGGGAGGCTTATGTTCAGCAATGGACAGTTAAAGGCTGATATGATGACAATGATGATGATTCTATAAGGAAAGATATTGTGTAAACTTTATTATTTATTGTCAGACACTTGGCAACCCACTCTTTCTGTGCCATACTGGGTTAATAGTTTTTTTGAGCTGTGTACATTGAATAGCAAAGAATTCCAATTATATTATAAGTACTATTTAAGAGTCTGACAATAAAAAAATAGTATTAAATATTTATATAATAAGGAAAATTAATATTTATTAACGGGAATTTAATGACCATATATTGTTTGTCGTTTAAGACAATTGTTTTAACTTTTTCAGGAAGTCTTAACAATTTCACTATTCAAATTTAAAAGTGACAAAGAGATGAGGGTGTAAGTGCAAAAAAAAAATTAAACCGTTCCATACTAAGATAACAGACAGCTGGATGCGTCATATTTTTTTATAAGTGACAATGGTAATCCCGCCTGCGCTATCGATATACGCTGGCCTAGCCCATCGTATTGAATTTTACAAGAATTAACTACGATAGTTTTCAGGGAAAACCGCATGGAGTTCGACCTGATAGAATATATTGCTAACAATGTGGTTGTTCGATCCCCATTACTAACAATCCCTTTCCCCCGGATACGCCATGGTAGTATGACAATCTCAAATTTTATTTTTTTATTTCTACTTAATTTTTTTTTTGGGTAAAAGAATTCAAATTCTCTGATAGAGGCTGCTAATGGTTCCGAATCAATATATTACACGTTAATATTATATTAAATTGTACTAAATATATAAAAAAACCGTCCATAAAATATTAATTTACTTCACTGTATTTATGTATATACGACTATGTATAGTAAAAAAATATTTATAAGATTTATTAATTAAGTATTCAGATGTGTAAATAAATTAGAAAATTATGTGCGTATGTGTGCATAGCAAAATATTATTTAATTTTAGCAATTAATTAATTACTTCTAGATAAGTTTTTTTATTTTCTTTTTAATAATTACTTATTATATAAATACTATTAATGTATGAATATATATATATATATATATATATATATATATATATATATATATATATATATATAATAAAAACATTAAAATTATCAAATATCTTGTTTTTTTTACCTACTGCGCTTAATATTTACAACAATTATTAGAATTAAATATATTTTTTTTAATTTATTCCCTTTTTTTAATTTATTCTACAAGGATATGTCAGCCCAGTCATACCGTAACCTTAATTAGTTATTTCACATACTTTATTAATCTATTTTAATAGAGGGAATCAAAAATGTAGCAATTAAAGATTTTGCGATTTCGTACAATGACACTTTTTCTTAATCAATGTAATATTATTTTTTACTAGTTAATTGCCCTCTACTTTGTACGGAAAGATTTTGAAAGTAAATAATCACTTCTAGATAGTGTATGAACATAAAACGTACATTAGATTTTTAATTAGATTTTCAGATATACATTTGTGAAAACCGTATCTAAAATTGTGCCGTCTCCTTTGCGTAATGCCGAAATGAACATACTAAACAAATAGACAGACAGAAAAAATAACAAATATGGTTTTGACTTCTTTTGCTCTCATTCTTTTTTCTTAATTATTTCCTATATAAATACATCTTGTGGTGACAATTTTATAATATTAGTAAAATAAAAAAAAAAGAAAGAAAATTATTTTACACAAATGTACGATAGCAGGAGTTAAAGGGGTTAAAATAACTAATAATAATAATAATACAACAATTTAAATACTTTAAATGCAATTAATTTACCACAAAACATGCAATGTATCATCATCACAATAAAAAAAAACAGGCATACATAACTATACAAGTTGTAACGTACGCAAATTCTTACATGAACACCTCCCTAATTGTTAATTAATTCGTGTAAGAAACCCGTAAGTCTAAGTTTAAAAATCGAGATAAACGTTTCGAGAATTTTAAATAACAAAATAAAACATATTAATAAAAACTTAATATAGCCCGAGGGATAAGCAAGCTGAAGTGGTAATAGGCTGGTCACATAGCTCGAAGAACCGGTAATCGATGGGGAAGAAGGTTCTCGAATGGCAACTCCGTACGGGCAAACGCAATATAGGACGACCACCCTAGATAGATCCTACTAGATGGAGTGACGACCTCAAATGTATTGCAGTGAGTTAGTGGTGCAGGTGGCTCAGTACCGTTCCTTATGGCAGTCTATGGGGGAGTCTTATGTCTAGCAGTGGACGGATAATGGCTGAACTTATGATGAATAATAAAAACTACTAAATTAATTAAATACATAGAAAAAAAAAGACAATAAATACATATTACAGCTGTCTCAGCACAAATATGTGTTCGTGTGCGTGCATGCGTGCGTGCGTGCGTGCGTGCGTGCATGCGTACGTGCGTACGTGTGTCCGTGTGTGTGTATACGTGTGTGTGTACGTTGCAATACACAAGAATTATTATATTTCATTGTCATTGATGGGACAAATCCTTAGAGCTATATTATAACAAGTATTCAAATGCAGGACGAAATGTGGGTCGGATGAATAAATAGGTGTTGCTCAACACGAACTATTACGATATAAAAGGGCGCCCGGTTCGATTCCCATGTACACCATGTACATGTAAGTGTTCCGCTCAATTTGTTTCTCAATTTACCATAAATTACACAGATAAAGATTACGAGTATATCGGCTTATACCTATTCAATACAAAATATATACATTATGTATGTAGTTTTCTTTTTTAATGGATGATAATTGAATGGTAACTCCGCCTGCGCTAACGGTATACACTGGCGGGGTACCAGTTAAGAATGACAAGTCTGAACGAAAGGGCAGGTCAGCAGGGGTACTAGTGAGGCTGAAAAGGCAGGTCAGTTAACCCACTATGATGAATTTACCTGGCATTCAGCATAATTGTATCCAGGGGGTATCACGTGGAGGTTTTTTTTATACCACTTAGGTGGCAAACAAGCATACGGCCCACCTGATGGTAAGTGGTTACCGTAGCCTATGAACACCTGCAATACCAGAGGTATTACGCGCGCGTTGCCGACCCTGAAGAAACCTCTTTACCCCCTTTTGAAGAACCCCATGCTGTAGTCTCTTGGGAAAACCTTGGCAGGGAGCTCATTCCACAACCTGAGTGTTCGAGGTCGACCTGACAGGGTATATTGCTAGCAATAGTGGTACATTGCTGTTAGAACCCATTACTAACAATCCTTTTCCATCGGGTCCTAGTAGTTGCCTAGAAAAAAATACCTACATAAGCACGCGGTTTTCCTTGGAAACCATCATGGTTACTTATTAACATTCGTCATGAGGGATTAACTGACATGCTTTCATCTTGATCTGTCATTTTTCACTGGTGCCCCGCCAGCGAATGCCGTTTCAATCTCACCCATTAAAAAAAAAAAAAACTATCAAGACCCATGTCTGCAGTGTTTAAATGAATATCTGATGCATATAAAATTTATTATCTGTACTTAATTACGCCCTAAACAGAAATTAGAACAGTTCCATTGCTATAATAAATTAGTTGGTCATAAATCTAATTGCATACGTTTGACCACCAGATAACAGCGTGTCGGCGAACTCAAAGCTAAAGATAAACTGTGACCACAGTTTTGGAGTACAATAATTTACTACTGTACTGTGTTTAGATAGCTTAATAATATATATATAGGTAGTGTATAATGTATAAAAAATGTGTAAAGTATAACAAAGAAGAGTGTTGTAAAATTTTTATTGTATATTTTTTTTTATATAACGCAGGGGACAAACGAGCATGCGGTTCACCTGATGGTAAGTGACTAGTATATATATATATATATATATATGATTCTACTAAAAAATAATCTTAGACAATCACATTGTTTCTTCTTTTTATTGTACGCGCATTGCACGCTCCTTTTCATTCTGGGTCTATCTGAAGGTAACTATTACAGAGTTAAGTTGAGCTCGCCTAAGCTCGTCTGTTGCACATCTTTATTCAAAATAAATTATGACAATACAATTTTATGTGTACAATAAAATATAAGTAAATAAATAAATAAATAAAATTTGTAATCTTGGCACGGATGCGATAAATAAAGAAATCCTTTTAATAAATATTCAAATCAAACGATAAGTTAAGGGGATTAGATAGAGTACATGACGCATGATAGAGGATGTGCAAGTGTACTAACACTAAGAGCATCAAACGAGGGGAAGAAAAAATCTGTTCATATATCACAATAAAGCTAACAACACGTCTGCATCGCTTGGTTGACAATACTATTTATAAAGACTCCACTTGCACGATTCGCTGTGTACTATTATAATAACTAACGATATGTCTAATGCAGGTGTTATTAATTTTTTTTTATACCACGAATATGGAAAACAGGCATACAGCCTATTTGGTGGTAAATATTATTTTTTTTTTATTTATTCACTGGTACAAATATGTGTTACATGGCGGACTTAATGCTAAAAGCATTCTCTCCCAGTCAACCATAGGTAAATGTCAGAATACTCGAATGCGGTACTAGTAATTATTGATATACATACATACTAAAATTACCATATATAAACGAATAAATATATATGAATAACAAATATACTTACACATACATGATATATACTTTATTATACACGAAAATGAGAATAATATAAAGCACTTACTGATCGGATAAAGATAAAAAGTAAGTAAAGTAAGTAACGTAGCCTATGGACGCAAATTTTTTTAACTAAACGACATCTCTACATATCTACATCATCATCATCATACCAGCCTTTAACTGTCCATTGTGGAATTTAAGCCTCCCCCTTGTGGTGTTTTGCCAGTAGTTGCCACGCTTGGCAATCGCAGTTAGGCTTTAGAGACGTTTTAAGAGGAACGCTGCTGCTCATCCCTCGCCTTCCCTTAGTCGCCTCTTACGACACCCACGGGAAAGGAAGGAGTACCCTATTCGAATACCTAGGTTATAATCATCATTCATCATCACTTTAGCATGTATCTATCCTGTAAAGATGATCAGCGAAGGCTTATGCTGGGCATACGCCTTTCCTGATTCCTTCCAACATGTGGGATGCTCGGTTTTTCGCACTGGGTGGCCACACATTATTGCTATTTTTCATTGCAGAATTTATGTCTATAAGTTATGATATTAAAAAAAAAAATAACTGAATGAGTATACTTTATTTGCATTATACAATATAGGGAATAAGCAATACAATTTACAAATACAACGATACAATTGTATAAGTACAGTAAGGCGGTCTTATTGTTGAAAGCAATCTTATTTGGGAGGTTTAAAAATTATATGAAAACAAAGATCGATAGATGCCGAAACCTAATGCTACCCACATTTAACAATGTAGCATCAAAAGTAAATTGAACATTGCAAATGAGTGTATGTTTTGGATTGCACCGTCTTTTATGAATACTTATGTTTAAGTCAAAGGAAGTTTTTAACTAACCACTGAGATACAGACGAGGCCTAGTTCGCTGGCTAGTATATGTAACTAGGTGTAATTTGTTATTTATTAAAGACTGTTGGAATCAAAATGCGTTGAAATTGTTTTAGTTATTTAATTTATTCCACAAAAATGAGAAATTCACAGTGACTCGTATGAAAGTTGATGGAGGAAGCGGGAACGCAAACAGATCGCCGTGTTATAATGCTACATTAATCAGTGTTTCCATATACAAAATGTACATTGTTACTTTATGGTTTTAGAACAAAAAATATTTTCTGTTAAGATATAATATTGGATCTTAACAAAGACTATTAATATTAAAAAAAAATAACAATATTTTTTTGCAATTTTATCTGTCTGTGGGTTTGTAGCGGTATTATGGAAAAACTATTGTACTGAATTGGCTTCGGTATTGGCATATGGATTTCTGAAGGTATAACATAAAATTTAATGTATATTTTATGATGATACGTTGCCTGGTAGTGATCTAATTCATTGAGTTTCCT